TAAATAATACTTTTGAGGACACTCCTGTTGATAGATTTTCTAGAAACTTTTAGTTGGAGATTGTCTTTGATTCTATGTAGAATAACATCTCAGAAGAGTAACGCGTTATTAGTTTCGGTTTCAAAAATGGCTTCGATGAAGATGTGATAATACGGTGACATGTCCTCGAGGACACGTGGCCCAGTGGATAAAAGCGTTGGCTGGATCCAGTGACTTGATATAAAGAGTTGTGAGTTCAATACCTGGTTACTCCAGTGGTGAACAAAAACTTTGGGAGTTGAGTTAAAGGGAAATAACTGTGACATTTGGACGCGGAATGGCACGTGGAACTAAAACAATCAACCAATCAATTTCGGTGGACGAAATATAAGGTTCAGCATTAAAGATGAGGGCAACAGTTCGAACAATATAAATAATTTGGGGCAAATTATTTCTGAAAGGACCACTTTCTAGAACCTCTAAAATGAGACAAACTAAAACGTTGAATCAGTACACCGAATTTTTGTTTATGAAAAAACCCTGATTAGTAATTAATCGGTAACTTTAATATATATATATATATATTCTGTAGTTTACTGCTACCAGCAAGCAGAAATATTTCTTCTCCCGATGATGGCCATTTTGGACGAAACTAGTCGAGGAATCTAAATGAAATAATAATAAAAAAACGAAAGAATATTAATCTACAACCCAGTGTCTGAAGATTTTAATTTTTAATATATTTTTATTGTTCAATATATATATATATATATATATATATATATATATATATATATATATATATAAAAAGTGAACATAAAGTCAGGCTTGACGATTGCATCTAGCATGAAACAGACTGTCGCCTCTAAGTGTGGACTTCTATGTTCACTTTTATATTTACACACGCTCTATCTCTGATATCCCATAAATATAGCACATCTTAAGACTATATTTCTTCATATATATATATGTGTGTGTGTGCGTGCGTGTGTATATATATATATATATATATATATATATATATATATATATATATATATATATATATACACACAAACACACAGATAGTGCGATGGGTAAATTGTCGTCATTTTATATTTTTATTTCGCGCATGCGCGTTATTTGTTTTCGATTAAACATTTTGTGGGGTGGACGATTTTGCTGTTACACCTGGTATGTGTGTGTGGGGGGGTGTTTAGGTAAAGTGATACGAGGTTTCCTGTAGCATAGATAGCGGAATGAGAATAATCTTGTTCATTTATGTACTATATCATTTCAGGGCGTGAGCGGTTATTACTCGCCACAGCATCCTCTTACTAAAGTTTGGCCTTTTACAATCACTCCATGTCTCTTTTCTGTCATTCATTCACAAAAACACTTTAAGTAGGTTGCTTGCTGTTTGCCTTGCTTCTATTGCTTTCAATATGTCATGTGTGTGTTAAATTCACCATAACTTCTTTCCTCATCATGTGACCCAGACATCTCAGTTGTCCCTTGTGCTCGTAAATATAGGTTTCTTTGTAGTCCTTATATTTATTAAAACTTTCTCGTTGCTCACATGTCTTGTCCATGCTATTCTCAGTATTCGTTGGTAGAACTACATCTGTCACTTCAGTTCACTTCTTCGTTGTTGAGGAGATTGTCCCGCATTAAGTGATTAGTTATTATATAGAAGTTCAGCACTATTTCTAACAAAATTGTCCTATTCCTTAAAGCTTTACTTAATTTCTGGAAAGCCCCTTTCACTTTACCGCTGCAATTTCGGATTTCTGTGCCACCTTTTCTGATATATGTTACTACACTACATAAGTAGCTAAAATTTGGCTCAAAATTGCGATAAGGTTATCTACGAAGTACGCTTGAAAGTGGTTGAACAGTAAAACTTCTGAAATTTTAAGGGTATAACAAAAAAATCGTATGAACGATTAAACCAGGAGAATAATATCCCCCCACCCACAAAATTCAAATTTTAATGGATAACCACATATTCAAACTTGTACCCATCTTAATTCAGTCGAGTAAAATTCTATATAAGTATTTGAGTTTACTATATACCATTACGGGAATATTTTTTTGTGTACTTGCATGTTTCTGTATGTACGTAAGCATTGCTATTATATATATAGTTTAGAGAAGTTTATCACTTAGATGAGTGGTTTTGGTTCAGCCATGCCTACTACGCAGTTTCGTAAGCACTTCAAGATAACATGTTCACTCTTGTCTTCTCTGCTGCTATTTCTCAATTTTGCCGTATTTATGTGTAGTTTGGTGTAATATGATATATTTTTTATAGGTGTGTGGCTTTTCTTTAATGGGTATTGTTGTTGTTACTTAAGTAGTATGGGGATTCTTGGTATTTGTTTACTTTGTATTGTGGTGACCTCCTTTTGACCTTATTTTACTTAATTGCTTTATATGGGATTAGTTCTTTTTACTATATTGTGTTGACCTACTTTATTGTGTGGATGTGTATGCCCACAAAAATGTCACCACAATGCAAAGCAACCACACATAAATACGGCAAAATTGAGAAATAGCAGCAAAGAAGACAAGTCCTGAAGCGTGAAAATGTTATCTTCGTAGAAAGCATGACTAAACCAACACCACTCAGCAAAATGATATACTTCTCCAAATTAATTCTATAAACGCCCTATTCTAACATTTGATATCGAACACTTTATAACAAAAACATGCATGCCCAAAAAGCTTTTCCACCCAGAAAAAGAACCAGGAATCCTGGTACTTAATATCACACACACACACACACACACACACACATATATATATATATATATATATATATATATATATATATATGTGTGTGTGTGTGTGTGTGTGTGTGTGTGTGTGTGTGTGTGAGCACACATCTATATCTGCTTGAGACTACCTTCCGCTTTTTATTTTCATATGAATTTTTTCACTTTCTGTTTAAGGAGCCATGTTTATGCTCTTGTGCATTCAATTATGGAAGCGCTTGTATGTACGGCGCATGCGCGTGATAAAGTCTCAAACAGACAGGCAGGGTAAAGAGGATGTTTCCTTCGCTATCTATCACCTATGTTTACACGACTTTGCCGCCAGTAAGAAACATTTGGTGCTTAAAATCTCGCCGTCTCATGGATCTAATCTGGCATTTCTCAACGATAGTAGTAAGAAGCTGTTAGCTACGATTATAAAAAATTAAGAAAAATGAAAGAAAAGATATGATTACCCGGAGATCTTAGTCGAAATATATTTTGAATTTATCCGCCATTTTTAACTTTTTCTTTTACTGCGGTTTTAAGCTAAAATGTAATTTCAAACGAATAAATACGAAAAAGTCCGTGTCAGTCAAAGTATGTATGGATCATCCATTTTTGAAGATCGGCTTCTTGCTTCCCAGTCAACTCTGATCTTTAAAAAATTAAATACAATGTCAGTCGTTATATTCTGTCTTCTTAATTCTTATTGTTTTATTGTCCGCTAATAGTTGTTTTCTCATATTCTCTAACACACTCTTGCGTCATAGTGGACGTATTGCTTTGCTTAGTGTGAAATGATATATATGGAATAATTCGATATAACGCGTTTCGTCCTTCAAAAGATCTTCTGAATAAATATTTTTTTTATTGATGGGAACATGAACGAAGATATAAACAAACGCCGTTTATAATTAATCATCGAGAGAGACGCTTGTTTATATTTTCTACATGACTGTCAATATCAATATCATTTCGTCTGAAGAAGTCCTTTTCAAGAACGAAACACGTTACACAGTATTATTTTTTTATTTTCCATTTTGTCATTCACTTAGCTATTTTTAGTCTGGAATGTAGAATTTATACATCGTATTCTCTCAATAGCACAATAGAACAGTTTTAAAATGATTGCGGCTTGTTGTAAAAATAAATAAAAAATAAGTTCTCAAAACCAACGGACGCCATTTTACACATCTGGATACTTGCAGTTTATGAACCTAAATGTAACAATGTACTAGGCAGGAAGTTGTCATCAATGTGACTTACCTCGATCGAGGCCAATGTAGTAACGATGAGCGTGAAGTGGAGCTATGCTGATGACATAGGTATACATAGTTGGGATAAGAATGATCTTGAACAAAAAATAAACATGCTCTACCGAGTGGTCCAAGAAATAGAACTCAAGATAAAACTTTCCAAACTAGAAACTATGATCTTGGAATTGGAATGGAAGCAGTGATGGCATGTGTTCCTGAATCTATCATAAAAATTCAGGATGTGGAATTAGTAATATATTCCAAATACTTCAGACACCTCGGTGTATGGATTAATTATAACAAATTTAGTATTGGAGATAAGTAAATTAAGAATATATAGATTCCACAAATACAACAAATTGCTACAAAACCAAAAATATTAACGTAAGATATCGAGTCATGTTTTTTAAATAGCCTCATCAGATTGAGATGTTCATATGTATGTAATGCTTGTTCTGAAATATCTAAATTGTCGGCTGTATAAAAACACTTTCTCAAATCATTGGTTAAAAATCTTAAAATTAAAATGTCAAAATTAAGTGTTAAAATTAAATGTTAAAATTAAATGTTAAATCAATCGTTATAAATGTTAAAATTAAAATGTCAAAATTAAGTGTCAAAATTAAATGTTAAAATCAATGGTTAAAAATGACTCCGAGGAAATGAAGCTTGTAGCTGTTATTGATGGCATTCCTTCTCCGAACCTTGTCAGTTATGGATTCTCACTAAGAACAACAACTAAAATAGCATAATGCATAGAATATATAACTCCAAGAGGAAATAATGATAATCATTAAGATGTGGACCGTCTACACTACTTGAAGAAGACGCTAGGAAGGAAGCACCCCCCACCACCACTGGAAAAAGCAATAGCAATTATTGACCTTGAGAAATCTATTTTCCTGAAAAAATGTTTTAGAAAGATTTTATCAATAGCAGTAGTTGCTCTGTCAAAGAATGCCGAATGTTTCCTTATAAGGAAGCGGCTATTATTACATTACTATATAGCGCCTAGTTTAATATACTTTTATATACACAGAGAGTCTGGATTATAGATAGATAGATAGATAGATAGATAGATAGATAGATAGATAGATAGATAGATAGATAGAGCGCAGACTGAGATGTGGAGACGAATATTTATATATACACATATATATACATAGATAGAGAGAGAGAGAGAAAGTGAATGAAGGAGAGAGATAGGACGCAGACTGAGATATGGATATGAAGATTGACATTAATATAAGGATAAATAAGATAGATAGATAGATAGATAGATAGATAGATATAGTGCAGACTGAGATATGGATATGATGTTTAAAATAGATATGAAGAGATGAGTACAGATAGATAGATAGATAGATAGATAGATAGATAGATAGATAGATAGATAGATAGATTCATTCTTTTAAATTTTACTATATAATAGAATCTCCTAATTTCTTTTTAATCATAATATTTACCAAATAAAAATGATATACATGCCCACATATAAAATCAACAGTGTGATGGTATATGAAATTCGCCAATAAATTATACCGTAGCTTCTGAGGTTTTAGTCTTACCAACACCCCTATCCCTGCACACACGCATACACACATCTTTCCATCCATCCAGCCATCCAGCCAGCCCACCACACACACGTATACATAGTGGTGCTAATATACTGCACACCCACACACAATGAGGCAATGTTGTTTTTTCTCTGTACACACATGCCCGCTTAACACACTGACGTTTTCATTGTGGGGCACAAAAAAACGTTCGTGAAAAAAGTACTTTCTAAGAAGATAATTAAAGGCAATTATTATCATGCTGAATAAATGCATGGATCCTCTTCTTATTACCCCCCACCCCCCACCAGCTATGGGTAAGTAGCAGGACAGACCGGGTTCTGTAGCCTTGGATGACAACTTGTCTACCGCAGAAGGAAATGGCAACCTACTGTGGGAAAAAAATCTGGCTCGTCTGTCATGTATCGAAAGATACATGATCGCCTAAGCGTGTATCACGCATGGCACATAACTGACTGATTATAATGTTGCTGAGTGGTTAGAACGATATGAGACCCGGGTTCGAATCTCACTATATTCGGTTTGTCAAGAAAAAAAAAAACGTCGTGGAGCGCCGATCCCAGCGTGTGTTACTGTTGGTTGGTGTCAAAAACCATACCACGTGTTGACCCAAACCTTGCGGATGCAAGTGAGGAGGTGAAACTGTACGGAAGACTATACAAGCATGAAGTCGCAAGTCGTATTGACCTTGTTCAACTACTGAGCTTGCCAGATTATTCGGTCTCTCCCAGACATTGTAACTATGGTTTTTGTCTCAATAGTTGCAGTATAAATTAAAGTTGGCACCGTTGAAGAAATACGAATATGCCGGAGCAGGCGTCTGCAACAGGCAATGATACTCGGAAACAAACAGCCATAAGCATAAATTAAAATATTATCAGACCAGAACTATGTCTGAAACCAGGTTTGTGCCTTGTCATCTATTCTAGACTAGCAGTAGAGCCCGGCGTTGCCCGGGGATGTTAACAGTAAGAGATAGATCAAGTATCCACCATCATAAAGCCTGAAAAATAAAATTGACAAAGACTATTGTTTAAGGTTGATGGACACGCATGTCTTTTTTTTTTTTTACGAATTGGTCAAATTCAAACTCAAACAAAAACATTGTTTTCAATCTTTATGAGTCTACCGATTGAATAAAATTTTATTATAAACAATTGTCTTGTAAATGGAATTTTTAAAGCATTCTGAATGTAAAAATAAAGAAATAAAGTGTGCAAGACAATAAGAAATACTACCTGCCAAAAAAAAAATGAAGTTTTGTTAAATCGATTGAAAAATGTAGGAAATCCGATCCCATATATAAACGAACACACACACACACACACACACACAAACAACCAACCTGGGTTTTATAATAAGTATAACTCGATAACTCGATATTAATAAGTATAACTCGATATGAGTTGTCCCCCTTTCATTAATGCCTCTTAATCGTGTTTTCAAATTGATTTCGTGCAAACAATTGTGTTTTTCCAATTTTTGGCGCTGTCAGAACCACCGCAAGGTAATTTTACGTAGTCCTGTGAAGCTTTGTTGAAATCGGTTGAAAAATGTAGGAAATTCGATCCAATATATAAACGTACAGACACACACACACACAATCTGCGTTTTATAATAAGTAAGATGTCAATCAAGAAAAAATGCTTTCTATGAATACCTTGAATAAGTAATAGCACTTTTTTTTTTTTTTAAATGACCTTCAAGGAAGATTTATTGAAACGGGGTAGTTTAGTAAGCCATCATTTTTCGGAAAAGAAAAAAAGTAAACCAGCAAGCAACATGATCGGTTATCGACGACACCACGAATCAAAAAGTAAGAACTGGGTAGATTTATGGATGACAGAAATGTTTGGTTAAAAGTATAGGTTTGAGAACGATCAGATAGATAGATAAATAAATAGATAGATTGACAAACAGGCTTAGTTTTTTTTGTTTTTTAGTTTTTTTTTTTTTTTGGGTTTTCTCACTATTCGATTCTCACTAACTACACCAGGAATCTGACTTGGAACTGAAGTTGATCACCTCAAGCAATTTTTTATTTTTTCATTTAAGTATTAAAATGGTGGATATTATCCCTATAGTGGGTATTAAAAATTTTATGAATACTTGACTATTTCAGGGGAAAGATTTGAGTGGTGTTTCATAATACGAATACATTGGGGAACTTCGACATGGCAAAATGGTTAGCAAGCATGCCTCGCTAGATCAATTACGACTGAATAGTGAGTTCGATCCTCACTGGGTTCCTCATACTTTCGGCCTTCTGCCACATTTAAGCTAGGCTTATCGACGTGCGATAACGGCTAGCAAGCTTGTCTCATGAGCCAATTACAACTGAATATTGAGTTTGATCCCCACATCTAAGCTAGGCGTAGAAAATCACCAGTGTGCACCTCAACGTGGTGTAATGAATAGCAAGCTTGTTAATTACAAACAAGTAATGAGTTCGATCCTCGCTAGATGTTCCATAGTTTCGGCCTTTTGCTACATCTGAGCGACGCATAGAAAATTACCATAATACGAATACATTAGAAACAAACTGATATTTGGAGACGTCACTGTTTACAGTTGTTAAATTGCAACTCACTTAATCTTAATACATACAACATTGTTTTCTAAAATGTTGTTAAATATAAATATTCACAATATGGATTTATATGTAGGAAAGTAGAAAGTCTGTGCAGAATAACTAATTATTAACTTATCTGTAATTATTCGTTTAATATCAGGCCCTCTTTACGAGTTCTACCGGTTCTATGTAACTCATTATTACCGCATAGTCGGTTCTGTTACAGTTTTTTGTGTATATGTATGTAACTAGGATATTTATTCTTGTAAATATATAGGAATTGTGGCACAAAACGAAAGGGGAGGGGTAGAGGCTGGTCTTCACTAACTATCTTATACCTAGCTAATCAGATTCACGACCCATTCATACGTTACAATTTACTCATTCACCACAAGAACTTGTCCATCACCACTCAATCCTTCATGCAATGATAATACCAGATTCTCAAGTTGAATTACCTACCAAAACGCGCCCCAATTTAATAAAAATTGATGATGAAAAAAATTCTATACATAAAATTATAATAATGATAGGATGAAGGGAAGGAGATGAACCCAATTATAAATAAAAATAAACACAAATTCAAAATAAACATAACGTATGTTAGTATACCGTCCAACCCTCAAAACAGAGGGTTATGTATTCTGTCCATTTGGCAAAATCAAGAAAACACTCTCATAAGGGATAAAATGGAAAAAAGGATAAAATATTATGCCGGAATGGGAAAATGTAAAACTGATTTTTTCAAGATGAAAGGAGGACCAAAACAAACTGGGGAGGTTGGGAATCTCGACTTGGACCATAACCAAAAACCAGCCGGGATACAGGCCAGGAACAACACTTACTCACATTAACTAGGTACACTTGAAGCTTGTCTAACCTAACCAAGGGAAAATTTCCGCAGGAAGCCACCCCGATGTGCTATAGGTTGACTTAAAAAAAAAAATCAAAATAGCCCCGGTCACACGAACCAGGCTTGCTTTATTTACCCACCTTTCGCTGAAGACTGTCGAATGCAATCGTTTTCTATCAGATCTAATCTTCATCTTGAGCTGATGCTCAAAGAATTTCCTTAGATGCTGATAAGAAAGACAGTTGCCCCGTAAAAAATCCTCCATTCGCGTCGTCCAAATCACCATTCGAGCCGTGGCCATCAGCATCAGAAACACCATTCGTTTCTCCCCGGAATACGGGGGCGACACATTGTCACACGCGTATGCGCGATCCATGGACACTAGCTGTTCGGGAGCGAAACGAGCCGTCATCGCCGACATGGTCCCATATAAATACAACCCGGGGGCAATGGTAGAAGGCGTATATGTATGTAACTAGTGAGCCAGTCAAAATGACTTAACTTCCTTTATAGTCTACCAATAGAAGGTTAACCAATCAGAAGACGTAGAATATTCAATCCGTCGTATATAAAGGCAGCCATTTTTGTTCACTCTACCCGAATGTCCAGTCCAGCTTGTCAGGCGAAGAGAACCAGAAGGACGAACTATGCTCTGCTACTTTTTACCGAAATATCCACTGCTAACCTGAACAACGCTTTCCTACTGTCTTCGAAATATTCACTGCTAACCTCTGGATTCTATACTCGAAGACGACCGTCATGATGAATAAAAGGTTCACCGGCGACTAAACCTGTTCCAAGCTTTTCTACTGAGGTGAGTGGCTAGAAGCACAGCGAGATTAAAAACAAGACCTGTCCATGGATGGATGAACCTTTTTGTCGGGCCAACGGCCATCAAGTACAGAGCTCTGTATCTATAAATGCCGCCAGTGTGGTAATGACACAGCATCATTTAGTCTAAAGGCTATTTACACTGAAGTTAATAGCCAGGGTGTAGGGTTCACCCGATGGAATCAACGATCTCGTGTCCGGAGACTGGTCTCCATAGCTACGTATGCAGCCTGTGCGGTAATGACACGGCATCTTTAGACCAAAGGCTATTTAGACTGAAGTTAACAGCCAGCGTGTAGGGGTCACCCAATGGAATCAACGGTCACGTGTCCGGAGACTGGCCCCCATAGCTACGTATGCAACCAGTGCGGTAATGACGCAGCTTTAATAGGCATGAGGTCGGGGGCTTCCTAGACTGGAATCAACAGCCAGGTTCGTGTGTTGTAGGTGTTGCTTTCCCACGATAGAATCAGCGATCACGTGTCTGTAACCAAAGCCAACATACAACGGCTGTAGTTTGACCTGGATCGAGACGGACTCCTCCAAGTCTACTTGCCCAAGCCACGCTACGGATG